ACATCACATTATGTAAATTACAAAGCTTATATACTTGGATTGGAAACAACATGGATGATACTGACATACTACGACATGAAACTTCCAATCAACCACTATATATATATATATATATATATATATATATGAACTCTTTGCAATTCAATGTTAAAAATGAATAAAAAATATGCAATCTATTTTCTTGTTTTTTAAGGAGTTTTTTAATTTTTTAATTTTCAATTTAAATTAAAAATTAAAGGAATTTTTTTTCAGGAAAAATTATATACATATATTCATAAATCAGTTTCTAACATGATTTTATATTGACGTCTAATAGTATGACCAATCAAGTGTTGTAAAAGTGTGACATATACGGAAGCTTTGATTTGTTGTGAATGGTTCATATGTTACTCTTTTTACTTCTTGTATTGTAATATTTTTCCATGCTCTCCTCGTTTATAAATATTTTTATTTGTGAGCTTCAATTATAAATTATATTAATCTAAACTTCTTTCTCTTGATAGTTTTGTTGGATAAAATATCTATACATCTACTCAGTTTCATGTTTTCAGTTAAATCTATTCTTGCACAAGGTTTTGTGAAATTTATATAAAGATTTCATATTTTTTTATTATAAATTATATGATCTTATGGCATAAAATTTAAACCTTGAATCTTTGTAAAATTCATCTGATGTTAATTTAATGTCAAAAAAATAATCCAAAAAATTTATGAAACTGACATAATCATGATACAGTTTCAACACACTGTTATTGAGTAGAAATTGTGAACCTAATAATAAAAACTGATTTGAAAATCTATTCAAATGTATAAGTATCATTCATTTTTGCTCTTTCTCTATCCCTTTTCTCCGAACAAGCAATGATATGAAAAAAACGACGAGGTGGATTTTGATTATACAAGCACACCAACATGTGTCACAAACACAACTCTTTAATTGTTAGCTTAGATCCACAAGTAAAAGAGTAAGTAATCAACGTATCATATACGTTGATTGAATTGTGAGCCATATCTCCGAGTTAGCGTTTGCAAAGAATTTTGGAACTTTCCCAGCAGGAAGAAAGTTTACTTTTATGTTTCGCTTCCTTCGATTATAGGCTTCTATTCCGTTTCATCGCCATTGGTTCTCGCAGCTTGTTTTACATATGATCCCACTTGACTTTCTATGCTAGACTAATCATCACGAACACCAGTCGTCGAGAGAGTCTCAAACCAAAATTCTGTAGAATGATGCAGACTTTCGTAGGGTCTAGACTCATTGTCTTCATTGTCCACTGCAACATCAGATGCAGTAGATTAGATGGGCGAATTTACGTGCACTTCATGATAAATCTTTGTCTTTTCAGTTCTTGCTGAATCATCGATTGAAGAAAACAACTGAAATTGTCTTTCGAAGGTTGAAAGCTTTGAACAGTCAGACACGCGATACGGGCGGATATAAAGAAGACCTTTAAGCCGAACTGTACCTATTGAGAATTGAAGTAAATTGTATAACACATTATCATTTGACTATGAGAAACAGACATGGGATTGGTATTCATGGAATGCGCAGGAATCATATCCAAATCCGAGAGTCTAGAAAGCAGAGCTTTTTTCGACTCTATTCACAAGTTGCACAGTTTCAAGATCGATTGTGATGATCGTGTTCGCGTCTTGATATTTTCGGCGCCTCCCCTCCATTCGTTGTCCTCATACTCGGCGACGGTGATGATGTAGTTTGATGGGCAACATCCTTTCTCGCTATTGCACTTTTTGATGCTTTGTCGTCAGTTGTGGCAAGATTGTTCGCGGCACTACGTTGCAACGATTCTAGATTCTGGATAACACTAGACAATAATTAATTAAAGATATGTTAAAGTGACTGACACTAGACTTGTACCACATAAGCAGTATCAAGCCATGTTATTGGGGTTGCATGCATGGTGATTTTTGGCACCACGGAACTCCATACATGCAGTCACAAGAAGACACATGGGTTTTAGTAACATGTTTTGACATGTGAGTATTTACTGTTTTGGATTATTGTTATTTCAAAGTAAGTTATGTTCAAGTATTTTCAGAGCTTGGACACTCACATTCCTGCCTTTGATCTCTTCTTCATATTTTTTTGCACAGTATTTGTTCATATAATCTACTTAATCAGAGTCTTATGACTATGGATCTAAATAGAATATTGAATAGCTTTTGAATGGTTATGCATTGTCACATAAAGGATTACGGACAAAAATAAGAGGATATCTTCAAAACTTCAAATACTTGATTTAATCTCTACACCTAGAAATAACCTTGAAATTTTTTTGATCAATAAGAGTGTATTCTATTATTTTCTTAAAACCCTCAAAGTAAGAAGTACAGCCAATTTTTTACTTCAAGAGCCTTATAAAATATTATTTTCTAAATGTAAAAAATAATACAAAAAGGCTTGAAATATCACATATTGTGATTGATCACAATCAAATTTTAAATTAGCTTATAATAAGATTTGAAATGTATTTATATATATTTGTATATGAGAGTGACTAATTATAAATCAATTTAGGCTAATTATTTTTCACTCTAGTAACTTCACTCCTTCTGAACTTAAAACAAAACAACTAAAGTCAGATACTAAACTCCACAGCACCCAAGGGAGGTAGTTGAGACGTCGGGAAGTGAAGCCCAGGCTAGCCTCGCCTTTCTCTCTCTCTTTCATTCCCTCGCGACTCGCCACCTATATCTTCTTAGGCAGTCATGCCAGATCTAGCGAGACCGCTAAACTGAGCAGGATCCACCCAACTTACTCTGCAGGGGAGTGATAATTAACCTAAAATGATGGATAACTAATCGCTCATTTATATATTTATATTTAACTAATTATCTATATATTGATGTATATTCTTTTACTTGGTTACGTTGATTGATTCTGGTCTACTCACTACTCATCCATCGGTATGGACAAGTCATTGGATCTCGGTTTCACACACCATATATGATTCAACCCTAATCCTGATCAATTGCAGATTATACTTTTGAAGTATGTATGATAGGATCATATGAACTTGAATAATTGAACAAGCTTTGAAATATTCAAAGCTTGTATGTGTGATAAAAGATATCCGTGAATCCTAGAAAAGTGTGATGTAATATCATCAAATTTTATTTGCGTGGAAGTAAATGTATTCATTATCTTTGCAGAGATGATCTTTGATAGACTCTTTGTAGCAAATGCGAGTCTATTTATCACCAATGTTCTCCATCTTTCATCTATACAAATAATTAATCATGAATATCTCAGACTATACCGCAATTTATATCGTATGCAAGATAAAAATTGCAACTTGCTTGCATAGTTATGCACAAGAAAGTTGATGAATACCGAATAAAAGGTTTGAAGATTAATGAAAGATTGAACAGTAAGCGTATATATGATCGATAAAAAAATGTGTACCTTAATCAAATAGCCTACGATAGGTTACTATTGCGCTCTGAGTCTGATTCAAATGTACTTTTAAATGAGTTATGCACAGTTCTCATCATCTCCTGGGGAGCACAGTGCATTTTAATCCTACTCCTGAGAAATCGCCAGTAAGAAAAGGCGGCCGCCCGCCGTTTTGGTTTCGACAAAATGATAAAATAAGGACAGACAATCCCGGGGGTAGGAAATTCCATACAATTCCTTGTACGGTGTACTATTTACGTTCAGAACATTTGACTTTGAATTTCAAGCAGTCTATAAGTCTGTAACCGATAAATTAATTCTCGCTTTACTTTCACGCAGATTTGAAGTCAGAAACTATTATTGTATAACACTTATTTATGAAAATGAAATAAAAATGATTAAACAAATAATTTTAGTGCGGTTAAAATAGAACTCCAGACATACAGATACTGTATAAAGCCAACTGTGAAATATGATTCGCTATCGTTTATGACGTCGTTCTGGAAATCTACTAATCAGTATTTATTTATGGTGGAAGTAAAAGAGCGGCAATTCTAAATTTCTTTAGCGTGCAGACATTTAGACAAGGCAGCCTGTCCCTGAGACGTCCTGACAGCTGATACAGCGTCATGCACTTCATGTAGATGGGACATGGAGGCTTGTCTGCAAGCGAGGGGTACTCGAGCACACCCTGAGCCAGACTGGCCGTGGCTGACACATCCAAACGTAACCATCGAAACCTCAACGGAATAGTGGCAGCTGCCGGATATCCCGATTGCAAGTTAATGGCTGCAGCCCATTGATCACCCATCCTATCTTCACCGCTACTGGCTCTCAGATCTGCTTTAATTATTTCGAACATCTCCAACCTTGTGACCATCTCATCCGGTCCGCATGATTCTTCACACCTTTTTCCTTTATGATTGTTTCATGAGAATCCAGAATTCGGGTGACGGTGGGTTACAAACCTTATCATGCTTTGCATGCAGACCATTTTCGTTTGAAAACGACTGTGGCTCTGAATGGTTTGCCTGTAGATAATCCTTCCTGTTCTCGAGCGAGAATTGTTATGTGAGATTAATCAGATTGTTAAGGTTGCAAATTCTGCGTCTCAATCTTCTCAAGCAGAAAGCATTAAGAAATTGTAACTGTTCATACGAAATATATCATGATCGACATTTGCGCACATATCTAACACTAAGTTCAAGACCTTCGAGACTTTGCCCTCGAAATCAAAACTGGTGAGTGCGGTGTGACTGCCGCTTTTCGTTGACACACATGAGCGCAACAGACATGGGTAAAGTGGTGATACATCGTGAACTTATTACAGCTCGTGTAAATTTCCAGAAATCATCGATGCAAAACACTTATCAGCTTTTTCCTGAACGGAATTGTATCTCTGTCTGTCTTTCAGCTTTACCTGACGACAAACAGTGCAGAAATTTAAAATTTCGACGACATTGTAGAGACAAAGTATTACTTTCCCCTGTCGTCTTCACCTCTGAATATTCAGAAATAGTAACGTAGCGTGATTGTACATTTGTTCGGCGTTCAGATACCATACGGACAGCTCTACGTTTCGAATAAAATTTAGAAATTTTACAGTTTCACGAATGACCATATTCAAGGGCTTGGATTCAACAACCGCCTCTGCTGCGCGGCGTAAAACCAAGAAAATGGGAGTTTTAAACCATACATTTATTTCTTTCTCAAGAAGTGAATGAGACTCGTTTAAAGATACATCATTATGATTGTGAGTCCGATCACAACCAGGTTTCACATCTACAAGTCTACAGCTGAATTCCACAGTGGCCACCGAAGGGGTCACGTACTAGCTAGCTTCTAGGTTTGACACCAAAAAAAATTATACTTTTACGGAAGTATTTAGCTTAAAGATAGCCGGGTTGACATAGAGAGCATTCTAATGTACAACGGTTTTGACTTCATCAACAGAAGGATGTCAGCTTCTGCGCAGCTAGGAATGTTGTTTGCTAGCAGCCGTTCGAACTGTGGCACAGTCTCTAACTGACGTAAGCCCAGTGCTTCATCAGCTTGAAGGCTCCGACGATCACCGCCAGCAACAAGAATACGAATGAAGCCACGGTGATGACTCCCGAGGCGATGATCTGGTTACAGAACTTGTCGAAGATACTGCAAACTTCTCCGTAGCCCAAGTGCGAGTTTCCTTCTCGGGCAATGTAGGCGACTCCGACCACGGATGAGACAGAGGAGATCAGCAAGTAGCTGCCAACCTGATATCAAATAAAGAGAAATAATTCTGTGAGTGTTTAAGGTCTTCTCGACAGCTTACAGCCATTAGCACGACGCCTAGCATCAGGTTCAGAGATGGACGTGCAGGAAAAGAAAATTGTTCTTTCATGTTCAAGCTGAGAAATTGCAGCTTCGAATAAAATAATCGAACACATGAGTCCGCCTTACCAAGTCCAACAGGAAGAAGACGAAAGCTGCGTTAGCGGTCTTGATGGTGAAGGTGGCGGCAGTCGCGGCCAGGGTGTAGATGAACACAATTCCAGTAGCCACGACGTGGTAGCTGCATCACAATCACAACCCACGCTGGTCAGCTTCAAACCAAAGTAACTCCAAACACTGTGGTGTGACGACTGCAACCTCCATTCCCACAAGACGAACACCGTGCCAGTAAATCCTGCCTGCAGAATCATGCAATCGTCGCGAGGGTTCGTCTACCAAAATTTTTAGCACGAGTTCCATTAGAAAACGTTTCAGAGTACGTGAGAAGGAGCAGAAATCTTGCGTCCTAGCACTTCAGACGGCCAGAGGAATGAACGAAATTTTCTGAACTAACTTCGGCTACCAGCTCTGCAGAAGAGGGGGGGACTTGAGAGAACCGAACGTCAAGAAATACGGCTCATAGAGAACGTTACGACGTATCTCTCGAGTGATGAAAGATGGGGATGTATCACAAAATCGAGACTCGGCTCAGAAGATGGGAGACCGCAGCAGGAGAGGCAGGTTTGGAGTCCAGAAGTGGGAGCTGCAGCCTTGAGGTTCGTGCAGTTGCCATGCAAATCCAAAGCATTGCCCTAATTCTCGCTCAGAGGGGTAGCTTCATACATGAAAGTTCCATCGTAGTGCCATTTGGCGTGGGCCCTGGTGGAAGTGCCGTCAGGATTGGGGAGAGTCACGCCCTGCTTGTCCGTGATCATCAGCAGAAACGCAGTCAAGGAAGTGGCGAATGTCAAGGCGCGGAGCGTCGCCAGGATCATCTTCCCGTGTCCGGTGGGGGCGTCTACCCCGACGGGCTTCTTGGCCTCGGTGTCGAAGCTTCCAGTGGATCCTGCCATGTCTGAGACTCGCTCTGGGACTGTCGAAGGAGACGAAACTCTGCGAGTACACGAGAAGCAGAGAGAGCCGCCGCGCGCAGGCTGGAGAATGCACAAGCTAGATTACCTGAGGTACTGAACTCTGGACCCCCCGGGGACTACTTAGCTGCAGCTGAGGCACAAATCAGCCACTCACTCGCTCCAGCTCACTCCCGGAATCTCCCGGACCCAGCGGCTGATAATTCCGGAATTCCGAAAGCCCACGCTGATCCAAACCGGATCAGCTGATTCTACTCAGCCACAAACTTAGCCTCGATCTCTCGGCGTCTCTCGCTCTCTTGTACGTAGCACCCAAGATTCAATGCACTTACTCCAAGATGCAACCTCCCTGTCTCTCGGACACCCGAAAGCACGGCTGTCGCCTCCTGGCCACAACGCTAGAGCTGCTGGCTGGCTCTCTGGCTGGCTGGCTGGCGACGCTGGAGCTGCGGAAACCGGAGCTGCTGCACCAGAGCCACAGACTCGTCAAGATTTAAAGTCTCACTGGGGAATGAACTCTGAGCCAGGGCTCGCACTCGAACACCGATCACCAACTGCTGAGCCGACGGTGCCGATGGGGACGAGTACGGGCCAGGCGTTGGGCTGGACGGGGGGGATGGGATGGGATTCGGCCATGCGAGGGAGCTCACGAGACCATGCAACGCTAGCGAGGCGAATTTCCGCCCTCGCTAGAGCTTTAGCTGCAGCTCCATCTCCAGCTCCAGCTGCCGCCGCTGCCTTGAATTCGCGTCTGTACAGAAGCGCAGCAATGAGTACGAGGACTCGCCTGGAACGCTGTGATAATAGCGCTCTAACCTACTCGGCCATTTTCAAATATTATAATTATTATATATACAAAATAATAAGAGGCCCAGAGGTTTCCAAGTTCCATGGAGGTGCGAATATCGCTCGGCTCCCCTCCGAGCGTGCTGTCCTAAATCGTGGATCCTCGCATCTACGGTCCCCGTGCGTACTCCTACGCCGTACCCTTAAAGGCCGTTATGTATTTTTCAAATCGATGGATAACTACAAATACCGCTGTCACGGACATCGGCTCTGGTTCGGTCCAACCGGTGTCTGGTCCCCCCTGTCCCGGCTTCTTTTTATCCTCTTCTTTCCTTCTTGCGATTCTTTCTGAGCCCTCTGAGCCCCCCAACGTTCGCCCCCGGGCCCTCGGAGGAGCGCTCCTCGTCCGCATCCCGTTTGCGGCGCGTCCGCCCGCGGCTCCAAGTCCGTGTTATCCAGACGGTCTGCGACGATGTCGCGGCCACTGGTCCCGGGACAAGGGGCCGCGGCCCGAGCGCGCTTCTTTAATGGCGTCCTCGTCCCGCAGGGCGAGCACGCACGCCATTGGCGCCAGCCTTGGCGGGACGAGCCGATAGGCTGGGCCCGTCAGTGATTTCTGCAGCGCGGAGCCCTCTCGGGCTATGGCTGTCACCTCGTCGTCCGAGGGGATATTCAAACCATCTATTCCCGGCTCTCTGACACGCCAAACTCGATCCCCCAGTCCTCCGAGTCTCCTCCTAGGCCTCGGAATTCCTGTGGCTCCCTTCGTACCGCAGTTACCAGGTTTCTAATTATAAGCCCTCTCCAATGTAAGCCAGCTGACAGTTTATGTCGGTTCCATCGTAAGGTTTATCGGTTACTGGAAGGTTATGCAGGAGGTATACCAAGTGTCCACAAATGTTCTTATGCATTTATTGATTGTTAGTAAAGCATTTACTTCTATCACAAACATTCAAGTCATCAACGAGGATTACATCTTCGGAGATGCAAGAAAAACTCGTCAACATTTTGATTTCGGATCAACGGTCTGCTTAAACCGTTGATTGGAAGTCATTTTCCTGGAAAATATGTCTAGAAATCTGAATGTTTGAGATTCTAGACAACACTTTGTTAGTTGGGCATAAGACTTAGAGAATCGCTGATTTTGATAAATTTCAATAATTTCATTAAGTTACTATACGGAGATTCCACTTCTTTGGGCCATTATAAGGTATGAGACCGGTCAACTATCATCGTTGACCAATACATGAATATATTAGCATCAAATATACAAGTCCAACCCTTGGAAAGCTGAAGGCCCATACTTCTTACGGTTGGGTTTATCCAAACGGGATAAGACTTTTGAATCCTCATACTTGGAATATATCGTAAAAAGCCTTAAGTTAGTCGATCATCGTCTCGCTTAGAGACAAGATTTAACAATAATCTAAAAAAAACCCCCACACGATTGATTATTAATCATCTCAAGCTCGCATCCTTCCGCAAATGTTTAGAATCTCCCATTAGCAGCCGTTTACGGTTTTTTAATCTAAGATTACCCAAACTTATTTTCCACTGCGCACTTGGGAGGTTTACCCGGCCGCAACACCTGTGATGTAGCCTCTTTGCTCGCCCAGACAGACGAGGAACTTAAAATAGAGGACATGTGATATCTCAACTGCTTTTAGATATCAAAGGCGCAGCCCAAAGCATTTGACATAATAATTGGCTTCACGTATTATAATACAAGAACCAGCTATTTCCATTAATCAAACGAATTTGGCATTTTCTAGGATATATCTTCGATATAATCAGAGGGGCGAAAAAAGACCTAGCTCAAACAAAGTACAAGTGTACCCCATGGAGTATCGATGGCAACAATTCTAATGTGACTTTCAGGTTGAAAAAAAAGGCTTTATCTTCAAGCTTATGGCATCATTCGTACGGCATGATGATGTATGAGTTTGGGTTCCTACCACTTTTACTGACAACTACTACCAGTTTTCACAAAAAAAGCTCTTCACAGAAACGAGGAGCTTACTCATGGACTTGATGGTCAACAGTAGTTTAGCCGCACCATGAAGCATAATTCTGCACTTTATATCATTGATGTTGTATTATGATATTTTATGCGATTATAATTATAATCATATTTATTTATTTATTTATTTTTAAAAAATGCAAAATACAACAAGCAAGAAAATGTAATAATCATGTTCATATGCTTAAAATGAGAAGAGATTTGAAAGATTATACAATTTTTTTTAACTTGTCATGATTGTCAACAACAAAAAAATCTATATATTTTTTCATCTACTGTTTGAAAAATCTCATACTTCAAGATTCATGCATAAGATTGAACCTTAACCAAAATTGTCTAAATCATTGTTACATTGTAAAATTATAACATATACAATCATCATACAATTAGTATCTCACTAACAATTATAATGTTTTATTAACAATTCTTGATTATTTTAATAATAAATTTACAAATTTACACTCCAAAGCAATGACTATAACTACTTTTTCGTATTTAAATTTAATAATATTATGTTTAGTACGAAAAGACTAGAAAAAATATAGATAGAAATAATAAATTTTCGAAACGTTAATTCATATTTAAAATATAAATTTTATTTTATGTTTTATAAATGGAGATTTGCGGGAATTTTTTAAAGTTTTTTTAAACAATAACACAAGTTTGTAATTTAATGTTTTAGAATATTTTACTCCATTATTGGAAATAAAATCCAAAATCCTGGGATAATATAATATGTTTTTAAAAAGGTCATATGACTATTTTTACCATCAATTTCATTCATCCAAATTTCATTTCTACCAAATAGTTGTCACAAAAATTAAATAAATAAGAAATAAAAAAATAAAATTGATTTATTTCAAAATCTTAGCTCATTATATCGAGTACAAAATAAGATACAAAACTAAAATCTATAAGTGATAATAATAAAAAGTTGAAGATCTATTGATGAAAATTATCTCTATGAGCAAAAATTTCGAAAACATATATTGAAAAAAAATAATTTTCATCATTCTAGTTTATAAACTTCATCTTTAAACAAAAGAAATAGATTTAAATTCAATTTTACTTTAGAAGTAAAATATAAATTTTATTCATAAAGATAAAGATAATAATAATAATTGTAGATTGATATTTACAAAAATGATTTGTGATGTTTAAGAAGATTAATCTACGGTTTTTCGTAAAACATATGGTATAAAAGTGTTAGTTTCAGATTTTATCAATTGTCGTATTGTTTTCTGGCGTCAAAAAATATATTTATTCTTAATTTTTTTACTAAGATTATATGTACTCGAATTTATTTCAATATTTCAAATTTAAATGTAATAATATTTTTTTCTATATATATCATAATATATTTAAAAAACACATACACGTAGCAATGATTGAGAATAATTCGTAGATATTTTTGAATTATTTTAAAGGGTATGATACAAAAGTTGGAGTTGAAGATGTGAAGATGGATATGCTGAGCGTAATTTATACACTGTATACAAATTGTAGCCATGCAGGATTATTTGTTGTACGTGAGTTTGTAACTCATGTACTAAGTGTAAAGTTAGGAGTTTGATTTTATTACATGGACAAGTGTAGTCGCCAGGTTCAAATATCCGTCAATTGTATTGGATGTCTTACAGGATAGAAGCGTTTGGTCAATAGTTTTGGTTTGATTTAATTAGACTTTTCATTTTTGTACTGGGTGCATCACTTGTGAGAGTAAAGCCTATGGATGTAATGATGATATGAAAATGAAAATTCCGCCTTTTGGAAAACGAAGAAGTTCACGCCTACCATCTAATTCTCGTATTATATGTGTATGAAAAGTGGCTTGATAAGTGACATCAGGGACGGAATGAAATTCTTTTATGAAAAGTCATCTGAAAATCTGAGTTATTGTATTTTGTCAATGAGACTATCCAATAACTTGACGGTATTCGAAAATCTCTACCGGTGCTTCGAAATGAAAGATGCAGTGAAGATTGTTGGAGGATCCGAGCGCTGTCATTATTATATCTATGTCTACGTAGTTTTGATATGTTTGCAAAGTCTGGTGAATGGGGGCCAAGTGGATAGAATAAAATAAAATGAAAGAAAATGGGAAAACCCGTCAAGCAGTTCGATAGTTCTCTCAAGAGATTCTTAGGGATTTTGGATGGATGATGCGGGACGAGAATCGAACCTCTTCTACTCTTGTAAACACTCGACTCCGAGAATCTTTACGGATTGAACACCAGAGGGTTCTTCCTGGCTAAGGGATCCGCCGAATTCTGCAGGTGTTAACGAAAATGCGAGACTTTGCTGTTACATAGTAACCTGAAAGTGTGATCTCATATACGGCTTCTCGAGGAACCAAGAGGGGTGCTAGAAGATGGAGCCGTGCACTTTCCATCAAGACCTTCTGCATATACCTCGACTCTGCGTGCCCACCACGGACATTATCTTATCTCTTTTTGAAAAGTTACATGGTTCTCAAGCAGCTCCACCAGTCCATTCCCTTGTTGATGTGTTGTGAAATAAGGGATGGTATATTAAGAAGGGGGACTTGTCACCAACATTCATTTATTCTACTTCTATGGTTCTTCAATCAAACGTCCAAGAGTTTCGTTTATTGAAGAATGAACATAATCTTATTTTTCACGTTAAGATAAATTTTTCAAACATATGAAGACCTTCACAGATTTGTTTATGCCACTGGCTTGATTTGTACATACAATCCCGCGTCACTCACTCGATACTGATCAAGAAGCAGCCTATTTGCGAGCTTTGGATCGATCTATTGTGTCTTGGCTGGCTGTCTGAGCTCCATTGATCTGGTTTGATTTGTGCAATATACCTCTTAGACATCATATATCAGCTTGGAGGAAAAGAGATCAATAAGAGATGAAGAAAGGTTTCGCTAAGAGATCAGATAGATGCTTGTTCTCTGGCTCTAATCACCATGTTGCTTGTTTTGCCTGAAATTCATGCTCATCAAACATGGAAATGAAAGTTTCAGTAGTTCAAAAGCGCAAAATGCTTGGCAATGTCTTCCTTTCATCACTTTCACAACTCCCTGGATCCTTAAAACTCACGATGCTAAGTGCTTCCAACCAAAGCGCAGACATAATCTCAGCCAGAACGAAGCATTATCACATACATGAGGAATATGAAAGATCACTCATGAACACTTGAATCAATCTCCCTCCATAGCTTGGAGCTTGATCGCGGATATTAGTAGTGTTGCTGCACCCACTTTAAGTACAAAAGTTGGTGATTGCTAGAAACTGCACAACCGGTGAGTTCCCTTGACTGCGATAATTCCGGGAGGTCTTCCCGGTTACATTAGAGGTATTACCGAGCACAATTTCGTTGTAGTTTTTTTTAGGTGATGACGTATACAAGATCATCAGGGTTCACGATACAACCCTTTCGTGGGTTTGTGAGAACATAAGAAGTCGGGGCACCGAGGTTTCCTCGAACACGGTACAAGCCAATGGCTAGCATATTTTTTTCGTGGAGAAGATAAGTGTACAGCTTCTGAAATGTTTTGTTGGCGCATGCTGGAGGCACTTCTGTGTGGTCTAAAATCCGCTGCCGATCTGAACTGAGACCGTTCCTTGTGCTGGCAAAGCCTCCCTTTATCAGCTGCTCCACAATTGAGACCGTGTTGCGATTAAAGAATGATGCACGCCTGTTCAAGGCAGGTTCACTCATCTTCAGATAGCTGGTAGATAGATTTCTCCAAAGAGACAGTTGGGGAATCATGGAACAAATTCTTTTTCAAAGTTCTACTTCCGCAAAGTATCTGGAAGAAGTGCTGGCCCTTAACCTCAAGGTGAATGTACCTTAGTGTATATATATTCCAGGTTTAGTTGCTTGATCGATAGCGAGAAGAGGAATTAGAATTGGGCATTAGACATCATCACGGGAAATATCTTCTCCCAGTTCAAACAATGTTTATACATTAAAAACAGTATTTCCATCTTGGCTTCTTCATATATGACGCTAGGTGTATGATCTTGAATTGAGCAAACCCCATATCTACAGCTTCTATTTTCTTCCCAAGTTGGCGGGCAAGGAGTGAACAAGTCAGGGAGCACCTATTTCGAAGTTACTAGGAGAAGATGGAAGAAACATCAACAGGCATCAGGAAAGTGAAAACAGATGGATTTGTTTAGAGCTTGACGAGAGGAAGCAAGACAATAAGAATCTTAAGATCAAACTATGATAGAGACATTGGGAATTATAAACAGTTGAGGTGTAAGGTCTGTAACCTCTTCGTGAGTAAATTCACTGTGACAAGGTCAGATGCTTATGACTTACATGAGGAAACCAAGCATCGCCTTGGAGGTAGCTTTCCCTTCCATGAAAGGAGGTCCAAAATGAATTAGCGCTTCTCGATTTCGCGTATAATCCGTCCGCCTGAATTGTGAGAAAGGAACCTTATAATGCGGCCTTAAGTAATGAAACGCATTGGGGTGTTGCATCTCCACAATAACTTTCTCAACAGCTTTATTTCCATATAAGCGCTGCACATTTGCTGCAACAACAATGTTCTCTATATCGCTGGTGTAGGCCGCAGCAGTCCGATTCACAAATCTGTCATCCATCACTCCAGCTCCACCTAAGTCCACTGGCTGTCCCTGACTAGAAAATATAACAATTCTTGCTGCAAGGACGACAAGAAAGTACAGTATTACCTCCGTTGATCTCAAGGCTTTACGAGTGAAATAATGAAATCTGAAGTCAACTAACACCCAACAGTGCGAAGGTACAACACAAATCTTCTGCAGGTGCCTCCCAAGCACTCAGATTATAAACATGAACAGCAACGATCTCTCGTGACAGAAATGATGGAAGGGCAGATGAATTCTCTTTCTAAAGCTCTCCAACGTACCTGCTTGTAATACTCCACCACGCATCAGGTCCAGCTCGTACTTTGGAGAACCTTTTAAGAAAAAGACATCCGCGAACATGCCAACAGAGCCCCATTGCATGTACGATGGGTCTTCCGGGTAGAGGATGACAACTGGTGGGCTGGCAAATTTGGGGTTGCGAAGTTCGGCCAGAAAATAGAAGAAATTCGTCGGCCATCCGAGTTGGCAACACACGAGAATATGAGGAATTTGTAAGGCCACCATAGTCAACGTTCGGTCTCTCAGATTTCCCAGAATTTCCTCTTCTCTTTGTTCGAGAACTGAAGGGTGTGGCGGTGCAGTCTTGCGAACAGGGGGCCAGGTTAGAAGTTCTTCAGCTGCTTTCTCTAGAGACATACCTTTAGAGAAACGAAACTCGGAGCCACCAACCAACTCCTCGTGACCACACGGTGTTGCCTCTTTTGGCACGCCTTCTGGAGGAACTGTATGTTGTGCGTCACCCACCGAACTGACTGGATTGGATCTCCAATCGGGGTACTCCTGTTGTGTATACACCTCCTGTATAGCTGTTCTAAACTGTGATTCCAGTCCAAATTCACTGTCTGGACCTTCGGGAAACACATGCTCGCTTCGGACTCCAAAACCACCATCTCCAATATAAGAGGGGAAATGTCTGAAAAAAGTGCCTGGGTTATCGAGAAAGCTTCTTCGCACTCGCATTAGAAGACCAACTTCATCCAGATTTTGCTCCCTGGACTGGAATGTGCTCCTAACCAGTGCCCGAAACCTTTGAGCCACACCAACAGGGCTGGGCACCTCTTGTTCTTTGGACTGAAACTTCGAGATTTTAAATGCTGTTTCCAGGTCATTTGTGATCACTAAACCTACATCGTCGAGTCTAACGATATGACCTTTTGGGAACAATAAAACCTCGCGATGTTTCTTCGTATGTACCTTCGACGGAATTGGAGTATCCAGTGCAAAAAGTGTGCTGTTGAATAACTCGAGAATCATCTCTGCAACCTGCACTGCAGAAAATCAAAACACTGTACGTTGTAGAAGTTGTGGTGCCAGCGTTCATGAGGTTAAGTCCCAAGTCTCTCACATACACAGACAGAGTGAATACAATCTCAATAAACCAAATTCATGAAGTTTAATAGCGACAGAGTATGAAGAAAGCTCGTGAGATATAGGCAAGGAGCTCAGAATCACAACTACACTTGATGTATTGGTGGAGAGATGCTTGTGTGAATCAGGAGATGAAATGGTCTAGAGTAGCTAAGAGATGCATGGTTGCCGGGTTAATGAGTATGTTCTCGTTACATTTTCTACACGTTATGTCTTGGAAAGGTAACTGACCATCTTAATTTGTGGCTAATGTTTCTGAGCAAACTTGTATGTGTGTGTTAAATATATCTGGATTAGAATCTAATCCAGATATATTTAACACACACATACGCGAAGCATGACATCAGTACCATTGTATTTCAGTGCAGTCTTTGTTGAAGATTTACACTGACCTCTTCAAAAGGGAGACCGTGAAAAGGTGGGGGAAGAATGACCGGATATATTTCATTATCGAAACTGTTATAATATTCTGATAAGAAATCTCTCTCATCCATGTGCTTAAGTCGAAGCTCCGACGTAAACAAATTAGCAATGAGCGTGTAGAGTCCCTTGACAAAGCAGCTGTCAAATCATGCGTAAGAAGTTAATCGATCAAAGAAAATCTCGACTGCTCAACTTAAACCTATATATTTGTCTAAAATAAGTTTTACATAATAGCCGAATGTAACATTTCTAACTTGAAACCTGATCGTGCCACAGTTTCACAATTTCCAGGCGTCTCAAAGTGACACATAAATATTATTACTTGTCTACATGGATTTTTAGTTTTGACTGGAGAACACTCAGCTCACATGAATTTGAAATTCCATGCGAATGTCATTCTATATGTTCAAAAGAAATAACTTGATGATGCTTTTGTAAAATTTTATGAATACAGAATTACTTGTTTTGGGGGTTGTCCTAGAACAAACACAAAGGGGCTTACCTACGTGCCATCAATATGTAATGAATCTTGGTGGGGCATATAACTTCTATACTTCCAGTATATTTCTCATCCCAGACCGCGCTTCTTTGTGTTGCAGGATCGAGCACTTCGACGATGATGCGTATTGGATGAGTTATTTCACCATGAATACGACAAAAGCGGTGGACTGCCAACGCTCTCATGATTTGAGCTGAATCTTCAAGTTGTGTGTTCTGTTAGGACAACAGCTGACAAGTGCTAGAATGTAAAAGGACTTAACTGTAGACAAATTTGGCATACAAAGCGCATGCATCAAGAATTATCTTTAAGGACAGGGAAGCATGGTCAGGTTCCAAGATCTGAGGATCCTTTAGAGGAAGAAAATACGCCTAGAAGATCCCGTAGACAGAAATTTCCAGGTAAGAGGCTGGAAATTGCCTCAGCTAACATATGTATACAGAATGAAACTTTTACGGATGGATCTGCTTCTGCTTCTGTAAGTGATGAACCTTTATCCTACGTTAAAGCTTAAGGAAGATCAAATTGGAAGAAGTGATGGCAGTCTATACTTCACGAGAAGGGATCTCTGCAAAATAGTTGCCCGTGAGAATTTGTACATCTTCCACCAGGAAGGAAGACTCTTGGATGCAAATGGGTGTTTAACTTCAACGTGCAGATAGGAGCTGCTGGTGAGACTCTGAAGGCAAGATCAACCCTAAACCCTAAAGGGTACAGTCAAGAACCTGATGTTCATTACCATTAAACGTTTTCCAGAGGCAAGATATGGTTCTATTAGAAAGCTTTTATCTCTAGGAGCCGAGGATAATTGGGAGGTAGAGCAACTGGATGTGAAGGAAGAGATCTACATGGATGTACAATATGGCTACTCCGCCTTAAATGGAAAAGTTTGCCTCTACATGGGCTTAGGGAATCATCTAGAAGTTGTACAAGAAGCTTGATGCTTATTTTCAGATGCAAGGTTTCAAAGTAGCACACTCAGACTTGAGTATCTACAACAAAGATGAAAACTTCTAGTTAGCAATGTTTGTGGAATGATATGTTGTTGATGGAGAAGGGAGTAAGAGCTGGAAAACTGTAATCTCAACCCTTTGCTCCATGACCAAGTACGCTGACAGTACTTGGTCATGTGAAGTTTCTATTCGGCATAGATATTCTAACAGAAATAAAAGATTGGATGGATTCGGATGAGCTAATCGAAGTACATTGACGATATACAACATTGACATAGCATGAATGGTGCAAAACCTGTCTCTACTCTTTTGGAACAATGTTATAGGTTGGAACATGAGATGTATGAAACTGGCAGAGAAAACATGAAGGGTTTGCAGTTCATATACCAGAGTGTGTTTTGTTCACTCATGTATGATGTGATTTGTACAATACCAGACATAGCTCAATCACCGCGAGCTCTAGCCAAATAAAGTAATGGTCCAACTCCATCACATTGGAGATGTCTCAAAAGAGTAGTAAGGTACTTGAAAGGCACTAAAGGTCTGTATATAGAATATAGGAAATTAGTATCTGATGTTTTTTTATGCTAGTTGGGTCAAGGATATGGACCAGTAGATTCACTCGTGATTAGTTGTTTACTTTATAGAGTGGTGGAGATAATAGTTTGGGAAGCAAATACCCTAAATTAGTAGCATTGTCCTTAAAAGAAGCTGAATGATGGCTTCTTTACTTGCTTTAGCTGATTTTGTCCGTGAGCATGTTGAGAGATCAAGCTTCAGCAAATCTGATATGTGATAACACCTAAGCTCTTGCACTGAAGAAAACCTAACACTGAGTATGATTGCACTATACATACTTTTAGGTTTTCTTATACAAGAAGATTTGTTAAGTAGAAGAAGAAGGAAAAATTGTATTACAAAATTGTAGAACTGAAGTTATGATAGTTGATGTATTAATAAAGATGAGCATGAGTACCATTAAATGAAAAAAAAATTGAAGAAATTTCATTACAAAGTATATAATAATAATTCAATAACAATCAAAATCACAACAAAGGTATTGATACTAAATTTTCATTAATAATTAACTCAGTAGCCAAAAATTTTAGATTTTTATTCTAAAACATTTAGAATGTCAAAATCTACTAAAATTTGAATTCAAATTTCTTTAACCTATTATTGAAATAATTAATCTGTACAGTCACGTTGACTATATGATAACTTCAATGTCCTACTATAATCGATTTACGTTTGTGGCAGATAAAATGAAGTATGTATCATTAAAAAATTATGATAAGAGTTAGTTTTTTTATATGGAAATTATGAAATTAGATTTTGATTTTAGCTTAATATTATTGATGACACACAAAAGATGAGTGTAATTTTATTTAGTTTAAATGAAAAGACTCTTAGTATCCATAAATGAATCATTCATTGCTTCACATAATCAATTGAATTTTATATTTTTTTAATGTAATAAAAATTATAAATAAAGATGTAATGAAATTAAAAATTAAAAAATCACAATTTATTGTAGTTTCTTAACTAGAAATATGATAAAAAAATCTGACAAAGAGTTTTTGAAAAAACTATAGATTTTTAAAGTTGATGGCAATACAGTATATTTTGTTGTAAAATTAAAGGTCCTTATATCACTTCCATCTAACAAAAAAATTTGAAAAGTTTTGTCATTCTCATATTTAACTTAATACAAATCCAAAATCGAAATTATTATCACTAAAGATTAAACACCAAAGCACCTCTGACATAAAAAAACTAGAATTCATATTTTTTACTTGAAGCCATACTTATGGCTCCGTTGAAGATACCAATTCATCGTATTGTGTGGGATAACATCCTTCACTTCTAATTTTGCGAGACCTTGTACAAATTATCACTTCCTACCTCTGTTTTGAATTCCACATCGAACTAACAATTAACTTTTGTCCTTTATTTAAGTAAGACGATGCTTACGTTAGATTCTTGGTACGCAACGAGAAGGATGGCCATTGCTTTATGTGCACTGACGCGTTCGAGGTCCTCTGGCCGGAGCACAGAACCCTCAATAAACTCAGCTTTCCCGTAGTGAGATAATACTTGCTTGAGGTCAAATCTGCGGTCATAGAACGTTTCTTAAGTCTATGTGTAAAATAAAGTCTCCCACTGCAATCCCATAACAAGACAAACTCTAAACAGAGATGATTTGAAACTGGAATGGACAGAAACAAGAAGACTAATGGGCCCTTCGAAACAAATCTTAACAACAGGTTAACTTACGAAGGGTGATGAGAACCCATAATCACGACCCGTAGCGGGAAAACCTCGAACTCTGAGATAGCAAGCGTTGTGATTGCAAGAGGAAGTGTCAGAATATCTTTTATAAATTAGTCCCTCTTCAGGAGTATACATAAATCGGTCTGCAAAGACGGAAGTTACCAAGAGTACTGACCTTACAATTTCCGACTTTCAAGTTGTGAATTTCTGTCATTGCAGAATAATCCAAGTTTCCTGCTAGTAAGAGGTTGTTTTTATTGATAAACAATGTACGAGTTTTACTTTCAAGTAAGTTCAATCATTTGACTCTGGTCGACACTGAGATCATTGTAGGATTCTGCAGATATCCTAATACATACTCATATTTATTCAGTTTTAGCAGAGAATCGAGGTGACGACCGCCTAATGTTTGCTTGCTCGCATTATGTGAATTCAGGACTACCTTGTCGATGAGTGTGCTTGTAAAATTCTGCGAGGAAGTTTTGAACTGCTAGAAGGGAGATGCCGCCGCTCAATATGAGAAAACGTGAGGCTTGTGATCTTACTCTGCCTGAACCTCCAAATGGACTGCAATTACAAAGAGTTACAACTCCATCATGGTCATTGCAAACCACAGCTCCTATACGTGCTGCTATCTGCGTATGCCAGCAGAGTGCTTTTCAATGCATCTGTCCAGCTTTATTAAGTTTGCGTATGTCATATGTACGGAGTGTCAAAATTGCTCGTCGAATGAAGCCTATCGAAAGATAATGTTCCTGCTCGACTATTTCAAATAGTACAGATATCAAATGTTGCGTCTCGGCCCGAGGAAATGGAAACGCACCTCAAATATGCAAGGCTTGTAATCTGTCCGACACGTATGGGAATAAGTGTAAGTGCTCCAATTATTGTGATGCAAACCACGAATCTGCCCAGCCCTGTTTTTGCGGCAAAGTCTCCATAACCAACGGTCCCGACCTGCTCAAATACTCACAGGATGCTGGTTAGTGGCGATTGATACACCTCACAAAAATGGCCTTCAAGGATGACAAGTTCGGGGGTAATTTTGGCGATTCACTTTAGATTCGAAATGAGAGGCTCAAATGAGTTACTGAAGGCTTGATGATCCTCATCAGACTAACATAAACAAGCTCTAAGATAATTCTGTCAGTCTAGCAGGTGCTGACAGCACCTGTTAGACTCAGCGATGACAGAGCACAAGTAGTAAACTCTAATCCGTCTATCCCAAGCTTGAAACGGAATGTCTTGTGTAAACATGGCCGACGAAAACTTGCAAAGCCTGCTTCTGGCCTTGCGTCTGGCCTTGCGTCTGTTATCAAATAGAAGTTACTGCACATCTTTCTATTTGTAAACCGACTGAACGAATGAAATCACTCACCGTTGCAATCAGAAAGTAAAATGACTGCCAAAACGTGAAGCAGCTCGCCTGGGGACAAGTCTCCCGATAGCTTTCCGAAGCTGTGTAATACTCTATCCATTGGATTAAACCGGCGTCTAAAATAACTGCAATGACGATGGTCGTAAACCTACTTAGATGCTTCAACTTTCTTCCAATCATTAGTGACATGGGACTGAAGTTCGTTAAAACCTGATATTTGTAGGCAGAAATGGTAGAGAAAATTATTAGTAAACATGTAGTACTCGGAAGCTTTAGGTGATTTGTGAGTTTTAGGTGACTTTCTCGTGTAAATCACCATCATCAATTTGTTGGTATAAGCTGAAATTATTACAATGATCCCAATTTGAGGTAGCAGCAGCAGTATTTAGTGAAGCTGCAGTATACATGCACAGAAGATTTCAAATTACTGGAGACATTGTCCGCATGTACAAACTGCCGGCCAACGTCCAAGTTTGTGTGTTTTTATATCGTCAAGCGCCAAGGTAACAAAAATTCAGAGGTTGATGGAGCATTCGAAGACTCACTGATGCCAAATGTCGCTACAGACATCAGGATGATCTGCTGATTCACTGAGCGTCCAACATGAGACTTGTTGATCAGAGAAAAAATTCTGGACGTAAAGATGCACTCGGCCGTGAAATAGCATGTACAGTCGGGGAAGAAATGAACAGTCAGTTGCACAATAGAAAGTACTGACGAAAAATTTCGAATGATATAAGTGAAAGTCATATTTGTTACAAAGGTTTGTCTTAGGACTCCATAGAAGGGAGCTTAGGACTCATTGAATGTGATTAGCAGCAGTGGGAGGTGACCAAATTCCTAAATGCAATTTGAAGGACTTCAAAGATCTTGTGCTTTATAAGAGAGACGATTCCCATAACTGGCTTTGAAAAGTAGGCCTTAACTATCACCTCAGAATTCTGACAAATTGTAGAAGCCGGATGAAGTTAACGCCTGTCATGTCATCTCTACAAGTACAAGCACAAGTTATCTCTCGGATCAATTCCGAGTAGCAATTGCACACATATTGACCAAATCACAACAGTCACTTAAGTTTTCCAAATTGTCACATTTAATCGCATGTTTGGGACTTTGCGGAGCGAGAATACGTACTTGAAAGAAAAAAGCATGGCCACCCTCAGATACACATAATTCACATATTTCAAGCAGCAGATACACATATTTCGGCCATGGAGGGGATAAATGTGTATATATGCACCTGAAGATAAGAATTACTGGCAACAGACTGAGAAAATCCATCGCTCCCCAGAACGAGAAAACGTAGTAAAAACGGCTAGGTTCCCTGGAAAAAGTGAACAAGACGTGAATCCGAGCGTATTTAGTTTTCACTGATGCGCGCTTTCACATGAAAAATCTTAGCTGTGTCCGTTTCTGCATTCTAAAGAACCCAAGAAACTCTTCTTATGAGTGAACACTAAAACCGTAAGATAGCTAAAGACAATTCTTAGAACCAACTTAAATCTTCAGGATTCCGTCCATAATCCTTCTGGATTTCCGTGGATTTCTCAGTTTCACTCACACATTATACGAATATCTCAATAGTTTATGTCCTTCATTCTAGATACGCTAAGCCTTCCGAGATTCGCATGTAAAGCAAAACTCAGAAAAGGGGAGACTTCTCCAGATGGATTATGTGCGTATTATGGTTGTTTGATGTTGAGGTTTCTATTCACGATGACAGTTTCACCGCGTTCGTTCAACAATCTTACTACATGAAGAAATGTCAGCACCGGGAAAAGCATGAACCATAGCGGATATCACATGACCATAACAATAATATGGTGGCTTTTGAGCTAGTACGTCATTTGAGTATAAACACTTCGGTCCACTGTCGTTACTATCTAAGCATCAAATCAGAAGGGGCTGAGATTTAAGTCAAATATTTGAAGGCAAAACGCTGGTAAACTTTCTTCCTTTGTTGTACCTTAACATTGGACATAGATTGAAATACCAGCGAAACTAGAACTCACCACGACAGATTTTCTGGGGACCGGCCTACAGAAAGAAGAAGTTCGGGAAAACATACGAATATAATCGAAGTACGTAATCGGCAAGAAACGCACAGCTAATGGCTTGCTGGAGTCCAGAAACCCAGTGATCTTTTACGTCGGCTTGGTATCTGTAAACCAGTGTCATTTGATCGTAAAAAAACACGCGACGATGATTCTGTCAACCTTCGTGGACCTAGCATTTCTTATATACTGGATATTGCCTTCAAGAACTCTGGCAAAACCAAGGAAGTTCTACAGCAATATACTCAACATTCTTCATGATATACGTGACACAAAACCAGGATTCCGGTCACGCACTGTCCAATACACCTCCATACTACGTGCTTTTTTTCCCTCGAAACCATCTTCAAAAACTCACGTTGAATAAATGTACAACGAAGCAGAGAGCACACCGAACAGAAACTCCAACTGTAGCAAACATCACCATCACAACAGGAGGCATATAAGACTTGAGTATCTCCCACACAAATCATCTGTTGCACAACGATTCCAGAAGATTACAGCTGATAAGACGCAGAGTGGAAAAGTACTCAATCCAAGGACAAAACAAAGCCATAACCATATGAAAAACCCTGGAAAACCTAAATACCATGCTACACATCTCTCTTGTCACATAAGCAGGGCGATTGAACCTACAATAGACCACGGTACATATCCTCCTTGTTCAGATTAGAAAATCGGCTTCAGATGAAACCTTACAATGTGCCATAGAAATCCAATCCATCCGGTCCGAATTCTGATTCTGGTTTGTACCGTTAGAGGCACCTTTCCATATAGAAATGCATCGTGGTAGGTGCCCAAAACATGGATGCTTGCTTTGATATCTTTTAAAGTACGTCGATTGATCCAACTAACAAAGGAACTCCACGCAGTTCTGGTCATATTTTTTAATCCATCCCAAGTATGGAAATTGACAGGATCTTCCGTGTATGTTCTAGCCGGCCTTCGGTTCTCCATAGCTACAACTCTACGTGGTGGACTGACAGGCAGAGAAAGAGGCCCAGGTGGATCGTCCTCTGATATCTCACCAAAAATATCCATGCTTTTCCCTTCCACTTGCTTGGAATTCGAACTCCACCTTGGAGAGATATGTCCCTTGCCAACATTCAGAGAAATACTTTCTTCCAGAAAACGTACGGATGCCTCTCCCCTTTCTAGACGAATTCTTCCGCCTGTACTGACTTTCGAAAGAATCCTTGAAGTTGATCTTGCAGCCGTACCGCTGCCTACTTTCGCAAGGATTCTTTCTCTTGCCCTCTCTGGTGATGACATGCTGCTCAAGCTATAAGGTGAAACGGGTTGTGTACTTGCACTTTCCTCATTTGGAGCGCTGGATGAGCCTCTAATTTCAAACACAGAAGACGGAACTTGATCAGAAGGCCAGAAGTCTGGTTCAGCATCTAGCGAGTACATGCTGTCCTCCAGTAGATTTCCCGAGGTTCTTGCAGCTGTTTGGCTGCCTACTGTCGATGGTAATTCCTCTCTTGTCCTGTCTTCTAGCATGCTGTTGAACGAAGCAGGTGATACCGGCTGAATGATTGCCTTTTCTTGTCTTTGAAAGCCCTCATTGCCTCCAGAGTCTGCAGAAAAGTCTGAGGAAGACTCTGGAGCAAACGGCTGAAGATCCTGTTCCCGCTTTGGTGAGGACATTCTGAACCCACGAGTAATAGTGTTTTCTCCAGAAAGTGAAGCAGGCAGTGAGTCCGACAACTGCCTAGAGTTAGCAAACACCTATTGACATCCCAGAGTTCTATATCTACTCTTCAGAAACCATTTTGATTCCAAGATCAGCAAACTCATCAACTGACAACGTCAGACACGTTTAGGAGATCAGCTCTTAAGTCAGACTGACAAGAGAAGCAAGAACTTCACATTGTGTTACTTCAAAAACACCTCATTGCATTAACCACAACGGAGATGTGACACGAGTTGCGAGCCTAGTCGATCAATTTTTCTATCCAGCTCACGATAATCATGTCCGACTCGAGCGCCATGTCGAATAAACCCTGAGAAGCCACGGGATAAACCCAGGAACACAGGACCACCGAACCACTGGCAGCTTCTACGAGTCGAAGATGAAAGAATAACTTTGGACCAGGTGATCCAACTCTAAGAGCAGCTACGTCTTACACTACCCAAGCTTCATGTCACAGTCCACAGTTCTCCTCTCGTAGTAGGAAAACTGTGCCTAGGGTTGGAAACCATTCATGAGAGGACGCTTCCAGTCCAGACAATTGGAACGTACACTCAACGGGAAATGCTTCAGCAGGAATCATGTCACGGTCTTTCATCCTGCATCATGAGCATGTCAACTGCTTCAGCACGAGCTTAAAGCTTTCGACGAGGTGGAGGCTCCGAATCGGAAACCGCCTCCCATGCCAGCAAGGAAGAAGGTGCCCTACATCGGCAAGAGAAAAATGCTATCTTCAATCACGCACTTGCAGAGCGCAAAATCCTATCCCGAACGACTGATCTCGTCGCCATCTTCCGACTCTACCAATCAAACACCCACCCACATGAATGAACACCACGTCCACGGAAAGCGCCTTCACCTCCGCAGAGCAGACAGTCGCCCCATCTCTCTGCAGTCAATAAATTACGACAGTCCACACTCCACTCAGCCTCTCCGACACTTCATTGTATGGCGTCGCGCTCAATTCTCGATCACTCGATTCGGCAAACCCTACACGATCGAAGCGCAAAGTCCTGATGTCCACAGGACGGACGACGAACCCCCTCCAGCTTTTCCGTGCAGCATTGGCCTAGGACTCGCCAACCGTTACCGGCATAACCTACGATGAAGCCTCCGCATAAACCCACGACCCCGTCGCCGGTATTCCTCAGGGCGACTACACGGAGCGCCCCGAGCCGACGATCCCCTCGCCACTCTTGCATTTCGAACGAAACCTGAGTTTTACTTACTTATCTCCGAATCGGCGCCGAGAGATCCAGCAGAATGCACGACATTCTGGTGTTCTGAGGTCTCTGTTCACACAGGGGGCCGGAATCAGGGCATGAGACAGTGATCGAATGCGACTTTCTGTTTCCCTGAGTGGCTGAGCTGAGCTGAGCTGAGGTTGGAGTCTGTGAGTTAATTTCGTGTGGGGCAGCAGTGGCCCAGCGATCGGCGCTCATGTATGTTTCGTGAGTTTGTACAGAGCTCGTCGAGCACTATTGCGCGTTGAGTGTGTAGCGTCTATCGCGATCGATCGACAGCACGTGGATCGACAGCCGGGCGTGGGTGTGTTCCACCTTCGATGGAGTTCACTGAACGTCTTCGCTGCCTTCGTCCTCGTTGCCTCAAAAACTCCGCTCCTCCCTAAAGTCGAGTTGGCGATCTCCTGTGCTGCTGCTCATGCTGCCAAGAGGAGAAGGACTCCATTGCTCGAAAATGATCAACAGGTGAAAGTGTCGGCTTCCATGCACGAGACTGCAGCGTGCAGTAACAAAAGTTCACCGACGTGGCAATCGAAGATGCAGTTCTAATCTGTGTCCTTCCCTACGTGAGCTGGCCCTTCTTTCAAGAAATTCACCCCCTGGAACACTGATACAGCATCTCTGTAGGCTCTTCCATCTGTACATGGCTTTCATCGTGTACTTTGGTCCCAGAAAAATCATTGTCTCGAGCTGATCACTCGCGGACCAGACCAGAAAGAAGAACATTGTCATGAGAGCTCCAGTTCTGAAAAAGCACTAGTAGCCGGTCGGAAATAGTTACTAAAGAGTCTCAGTAGACGAGTATCAGCGCACAAGGATGTCCAAGGCTGTACATGAATGGATGAATTGTGCACCTCTTGCCTTCCTTTTCTCTATATTGTCGATCTAAGCCTCCGGAAGATAAGTTGACAAGATTCGCAATTGCAGAGCAGGAAAATTTGGTTATTATGAAAAGATGCGGAAGACCCAAATCAGGCCGTAGAAAGCCAAGGTGGAAGGAGTTCTAAACTCTTAATTACTGCTGTAACAAGTGATCTACACTCTAGACGAAGATTTGTTCACGATCATTTCTGATCAGCGATTCTCTCTTTTGAGGGATTCCTGCTAGGGAGCAATCCGCAGCAGTCGTGAGCACCTTACTGACGTGATCATGAGGCGTCACAGGATGAAAACAAGGAGAGTAACGTACCTGGTTCGGTCGATGACAGTACATTGTCCAAATGACACACCTCCAACACATGGCAGAGTAATTTTCCAGACCAAAGGTACTCGTGCCACCAATGCTTATCCCATTGGAATTGTCATGATTGGCATGAAGTCTGATTATTTCGAATTGTTGGAAAGTTTTTAAGACATAGCTTTGGACTTGACGTCACAATGTAAGCTATTTGGGGCCGTCACATGTCAGTCACCCTTACGAATAGGTCGCAGCCATCAATTCCACAAATCTGGTGCCACAAGATCCAGCGGCATAAGTTTGGGTTCTTCACCCTTTGCCACGCGTAGTGAAGCTTCTCTAAATCATCATACTAATCATGAGACCAATTGTTTTGTCGGACTTCTTACTCTGTCTAGTTGATCCTACCTTTCACACCGTGCATCATCTTTGTTTCACACCAGGACGTTGTGACTCACCAGACTACTTTAAAAATCGAAGAGTTTATATCTCTTCTAACATTGATTCAGTGAATATAATATCAGAATTTATTCATGGGCAAAAATATAGTTGAACTATTTTTTGTAATATATTTGCATTTTTCTCTCTCAGCCCGCCTATCTAAGAGTGAGTTATCGGTTTTGCAGTTCGTACCGTGTACTCCATAGAGAGGTTACTTTGACAAGAAACTACCCATCTACTTTCTTTACACATTACTCTTTCGCCCACAATCATATCAATCTTGCAGACGTACGAGTTCTTTGTTGACATCATCAGACAGTAGTAATACAATTGTGACAATAAACTTATGTTTTGTGGGGATGCTTGGGTTATTATCGATAGAGAATATTACATATCTCATGAATAATTTTTCGGATCTTCCTTAATTTACTTGTATAGAACTCCAATACTAAGATGTATTTAAGGATATGAACATTTTTACTAATACAAAATAGATAATTTATTCATGGATGATGACCTGTTCTAACACATGAAGTCTCTACTTGCACTTGGATTCATTCACTCTTATGCTTGAAAGATCTAAACCTTTGTATCTTGCACACCACACAAACCATTCAATAGTGCTTTCCGATTCACTGCAGCAATTATATCTATAAGGATGTGGTTATGTCCTTGTTTGATACATTTATCTACATCTTCACATCTCTTCATGCATGACGAGTCGCATATTCAAATCTAGGAACAAATTATAATTACCCTTGACTTCAATACGAATGTACTGGGTCCCATCACCAAGAATAATGAATGTCTCGTATGAAGTGATTGTTGGTATTTTTTCTTGTCTACAATGTTAGGGGCATCTTAACAGGTTAATGTGTCAACCGCGATGGTTATCAGGCCAACACATGACACAAGTTCAAAAGTACGATCGACCATCATAGATAAGTAACTAATGGAGCGTAACTCTCCAAAATATCAAAGTATAAATGTATGCATAAAATTGAACTCTTTGTTATTACAGTTTGGGATTTGTACATAGCACTCTGTATTAAATCTTTTCTATAACTCTAAACCTATATGTACATCAACTTTCACATATTCATTTGAGAATGCCCTAGTCATGACAAGTATGATAGTGGTCAGAAAATCCCAATTTTTTTCGCTTATTGTATAGACTATTTTCATCAACGTTTACTGTACATATAATTTAAGATGGTGAGATAACTACCAACATGATTGTTTTGGATGATGTGTATTGAGATTGCTACGTAGACTGTATTACCCAAATAGTGCGGATATCTTAGTTATTCTTGGTACATATTTCTCATTGTGGACTCTTGAGTCATAGCCCCATGTTACCACTCTGGTTTAATCCTTGTAAAATAGTCTGGTATTTTAAGGTGTACTTTTCCGTAGGACAAATGGAAAAAACCGAAGGTTCGTTCTTGTCATCAGACTCTCATATCGTACCTCCATCATGTAAGCAGCCTGGAGTCCGGACCTTCCGTGGTTACAACGGGTGGAAAATGCATAATTTCGCATATCCACGACTTCCACAACCTCAGGAAGATTTGTGTCAAGATCTGAGCTTATTCAAGAATACCAGTGCAGAACAGTATGAGCCTTGATGGTGATCATTGGGGATGTCTATAAATACTTAAAATACGATTACCCTGTTTATTAAAGCGTCTGAGAGCTTCGGTGTAAAGCTGGTGGCAAACGGCTGGATTCCGTATCCAACAGTGAGCCCTTAGAAACCTCAGAGAGTGTGCCCTCCATGTTCGCCATGAGTTCTGAATCTACGTCACCCGAATGTTTTCAAGGACCCAGTCAATTACAAGATTATCCGGAAGATCTTCCCAAGTTATTATAGTGCTGATTAAGAGTAATTATTCTGGAAGAAGTTCGTGCTTTGTCACAAACAGCTGATTGAGCGAAATGCTCGACTGATTGTCGTTCGATCGAAGTGGAGGGGAGAGCCATCTTTTCAGCAAATAATCGCGCCTGCTGAGGATTTGGAGCTCAAACAATTCAACAATGTGAAATTCGCAGGCCCACACGGGTGTACCGGTTCAGATCCAACCAAGATGCATTACGGCTGACTTTTCAGACCGGTTTTAGTGATCTCCATCCCCGTGCAGTCTCGTGCCCGACTGAAGAAACATTCAAGATAGAGATTCCGACGTGAACGAAGCATCGCTGTCACCATTACTCAGACTCTGATACAGTCCTAGCGAGGCAGTGAAAGTTCCAGTTTCTCAATTTTAATTTCTCCATGCATTAGTCATTCGGATCTCCCCTCCTAGTTTTTTAACATCCTGTCGCAACGCTCAATCATCAGCTCACAGGACTCCATCAAACACTGATTAGCACATTAGCACTGACTGCATGCCGGAACGACCTGTGCTGTAATCGAAGTGTCATTCTTCTCGAGGAGCTCCAATTATTGGCCTCCCCTTCCATGTACAGAGAGGAGCATGCAAATCCAGCGCTCGCGTTCTCTGGCGTTTCGAAGGATTCCTCTGAGCAAAATCGAGTCCTCTCGGACTGTGGGCAGTGACTGACTGGAGGAACAAACCAGGAAAACCTTGTAACCGTGAGTCTCGCGCGGCAGAGCCTCTTGCTCACTGCGTCTCCTGTAACTGTGACGAGCGTGGCTGAGGCGGTTATGGTACTCGGCCAGAGCGGAAACCTGTGGGTTGGGCCTGGGAGGGCCTAGCAGTCAAGGGGAGGGGGAGGCAGGGGAGGGAGTGGGGCGAGAGATAAACAAACATATCTGACAATGTGTCCTGCGTCCTGATCCAAACCGCAGGAACTAACCGGCTTCGGTGTAGAAACCCATGGAGAGCATCCAGAAGCTTAACTTGGGCACGAAAAAATTCTCGGAATCTCGCAATGGCAGCATGCGCGACGGATGGCCTCGGGCGCAATTCCGCCCGTGCTCTGCTGCAGCTCACCACGTGCAAGTCCAGAGGTCGGGTGTTGACCGACTCATTCGTGCAGACCGGATTTGACTAACTCGAACGCCGAGTCCCTGGTGACGAAGTGGATGGAGGTCGTCATGTTGGCGCTACATTTAGCGCTCTATCATTCCGAGACCTCCATGTCGCAGCTCACAATCATACAGAGAAAAGGTCTCGGATCCAGCCTCCTCTCTGCTAGTCAGTCAGTCAGTCCGTCAGTCTCTCAGTCAGTCAATCATTTGGCGTATCTAGAATTGGACCTCTCGACCCACGCTCGAAACCGCAGCCAAGGTCACAGCAGGCTTGCTCAGAGCCGATCCTTGCCCCTCCTCACAGCCTAGCCTTCCTTGACAGCAAAGAAAATCCCGTCTGCCAAATTCGACCAACTTCTTTTGGAATTCATTCGTTCGGAATGAATATAATACTACAGGTCAACCTCTGCGCGACTGCAACTTACCGTCGGTTCCTAAGACAGCTCCGGAGAATTGAGCTCGAGCGGGCCCGGGAAGGGTGGGGAAGGCTGAACCGCCTCTTTCCAGCGGCCGAGTCAACCCTCCACCCTTCGATCGTCACGTCGCGGACCTTGTAGCGAGCAGTGCCGAGATAACTTGTTCTCCTGTCCAGACGCCACGTTTCTCGACTTCTCGCCAGCAGAACCCGAGGTCCATGATCGCCAGCACCCGCTTCTTCCCCTCGCCCGCCGATGAAAGCCTTTCCACCTCGTCCTCCAGGAAAGGGAAGTAGGATCTTCGCCAAAATTCGTCAAGGAAGGGAATCAGGAGGTCTCCTCGAGGACGAGACTCTCCGAACACCCGTCAGTCACGACTGGCCTGCGATGTGAGGAGTGGTAGCAACTAGACCACCGAGGGAGCCAGCATCGTCTTGAAGCCAACTCGACATCATGCCCGAATGTCGGGAAATGCGGAAAGGATCAGATAGATTAGGGGGGCCAAGTGGAAAGTATCAGAAATACTCGAAAAGGTGCCTCTTTGGAAGCCGAGCGAATGCGACCAGTCAGGGAGTGAGGTGGAACTTGACTCTACCAGAGGATCGGGTCGGGGTTAGCCACGGTGCCAGTCCCATGCTGTAGCCTCTTGAATCCACCTGAAGTCCGTCCTGGGCATCAAGCCCGAAGTCCCTGCCATGCGCGAAACTTGGAAAGATTCGCTGCAAAAGGCGACTCTTTGGAGGAGAACGGGGCGTAACTGGATAGTAGGAGGAGGAAGTACGTATTGCGGAGTCCAGCCCCGTACCAAATCCTCATGTTGGTGGATGTCGAGGTCGAGCCTCGAGCCTCGAGGAAAGGGAAGTCCAGCGAACCTGAACCAGCACCTGCACCAGCCCGGAGCAATCCGGCCTGCTTAATGCACTCGCAGTAATCGAGCTCCTCGGATAGCACTTGATTGATTAAGCATGCTGGACGTGGGAACCAAAAGTGCTGCGGACGGAGCTGCAATAAGCGAGCGATCGCATGAGCTCCGGTTGGAAAGCGGTGATTAAAGCAGCGGCAGTCGGCGAAAGGAAAGTGGAGGAGATGGAGGCGATGGAGGCGAGTGGAAGGAAAGGAGGGAGGGAGGGAGGGAGGAAGGAAGGAAGGAAGTGTGGAGGTCGGTCGGTGGCCAGGAGGGCGAGGAGGAGGGATTATGTGAGCGGAGTAGGTGGGGAGAGCCCTCAGGGCGCAACCGGAACCAGGGTCCAGGATTGATTGATGGATGGGCGAGCAGCACCACCACCACCAGCACCAGCCCGGAACGATGTGCCGAGATTCGCTTGGGCTTGCCATCGTTGGTTCGGATTCTCGGAAATCTTTTGGAAGATGTTGGTTCCGGCACCAGGCCAGACCGCTGCCTGCTGCTGCTGCCTCCTCGCAGCACGGAAGCAGACTGTAGTGAAGCTCACGTGGAGTCATGATCATGCTGCCCTCCGGGGGGGAGGACCTATTGCAGCACGATATGGTAAAGGTCGTTGGAGCGGAAAAAACTGGATGCGACGAGTGTTGACTCTGAGTTCCAAGGGCGAAGACTGCTACACTCCTGCGTCGCGCATCGATTGTCTGGGGACCACACCGGGCCCGACTTACCATAAAGAATGAGCACGAGTGCGCCTCCCGTCCCGGAGATTAGCCTCTGGCTGGAGCCGGGGCACATCCAGCTCCGGGCTCATGGCAGCAATATTCTAGGCTCGAAATTCAATCTGCGGACATGTACCTGTGCGAGGGAGAGGGAGAGGGAGGGGGAGGAGCCCCGAGGGAGGAAGAGAGACAGAGCTCGCTTCCAGGCCATCGCAGCCGCGCCCGGCTCATCGATGCGGGTGGCAGCGGACGCCTATCCCGGTCGACGTATCTGTGGAACGCCGAAGCCTGGCAGCCAGAGCCAGGGCCGTCGTTCCGAGCTCGCGAGGTGAGAGTGCAAGTGCGAGTGCGAGTGCGTCCTCTTTACTGCAGTGGAGATGACGCAACTCGTCCCGGACGGCACCCGGCCCGGATCGGGAGGGAGCAATTTATGACCAGTTAAGACCGCGTTCGGCTGTGGCTTGTTGGGCTGACTGCAGTGAGGATGAAGCAAGCAGCGCTCGGGTGAGGGAGGGCGGCAGCAATTGAGGCCCCGAGGCCTGCACAGTGGTGGTTTGCCGCATCATGGATTTCAATTCTGGGTTTAAGCATTGGTTCCAGGCCTTAAATCTGGTGGCTGTTGACAGGTCCCGAGCGTAGTAGTCTGTAGGCGCATCTCCGATGTAAACAACTACAGGATCGGCCCTTGTGTCGCAGGCTGAATCTGGTGCCATGAGAAAGTAAGTCGAGAACGCCCATTTTCTCATTCGAGTTCCAGGCGCTCGCAGTCGGCCCTCGCTAGCAGGAAGCGAGGGGCGGCAGAGGCTATGAGGGCAGATTCAGTGGAACCTGCGCGACCTTGACGATTTAGAGGACGCTCAATCCTGTCGTTCGGGAATCCCTGCGCATATTTTTAAACGGCAGCCCCTGTGTAGGCCGGAGAAAAAAACAGATACATCTTCCAGCGGAGAGAAGGTGGACATCGCGTGCATCGATCACATTTATGCTCTCGCCCGTAGAACTGACTGCGGAGGGAAGCGAAGCACCGATGTCTCCAGTCATGGACTCGTCGTGAGGTTCCTTCGATCATTTGCCCGGATCTCTCCCCTGGAGGAACACGGACTCTGACGCATTCCGGCCCAACTCTCAGTTCATGTAGCCCCGCATGACTTCAACAACTTCTTTTCCAGGCTGCTGCTGCGACCGCGAGCTGGAGCTAGAGGCGCCTCTCCAAGGCAGGTTCTCGAATTTCCAATCTTCATCATCACCACCACCCTACAGACTATGCCCGCACGCATACGCATACGCATACGATTCATTGTGTTTCGCCTCGTCTTCATTCTTTTTTAGATCACGCTAGTCTCAATTTTGGTAGATCGCCAGCCGCAGCGGGCAGCGCAATCCTGGCCATGGTGCTCGTCCGCAGCCTGCGAGCGGTGTGGGTCGCCGCAGCGCTGCTCATCGGCCTGTGTGGCTCGGCCGAGGTCGTAATTGCTCGAGTGGAATCGAGGGCGCACACGCACAAGGGCCCCCGGGGGAAGGAGGGCGAAATCGAGGACAGGGCGTCGGGGATCAGAGTCGAGCTCATGCACCGGGACCACGTCGAGTCGCCGCTCCGTAGCGCCAGCGACCTCGTGGGCGTGGAGCGCATCCGGCACGACGTGCTGCAGACGGCCGCGCGCGAGGAGGTGCTGCATCGGCGACTGCGCAAGACGGCCGTGCAGCCGGCGGAGGCGCGGCCGAGCCGGAAAGCGCTGCAGGTGCAGGTCTCGGTGACGGAGAGCATCGCGCTGCCGGTGGGCGAGCGGTGGCGGCTGCACATCCAGGGCGAGGAGACGGCCGGCGAGGTGGGGTACGAGTCGACCGTGTCGATGACGGGTGCCGGTTACTCGATGAAAATCAGCATCGGCACGCCGCCGCAGACCTTCCACGCGTTCGCGGACACCGGCAGCGACCTGCCGTGGGTGCAGTGCATCCCATGCAAGCGGTGCTTCGTGCAGGCGGACCAGTTCTTCGACCCGAAGCAGTCCGCGACGTACCGGCCGCTGAGCTGCTCGTCGAAAATCTGCCAGCGGCTCAAGGAGCAGCAGAACTACGCCGGGTGCCGGCCGGGCTGCCGCTACAGCTACTTCTACGGCGACCAGACGCACACGAACGGCGACATGGCGCTGGAGAGCCTGACCATCCTGACGACGGACGGCGGCAGCCTGACGGTGCCGCGGTTCGCCTTCGGGTGCGGGCACGACAACGTCGGCTCGCTGAACCAGACGGGCGCCAGCGGCATCATCGGGCTGGGGCGCGGGCGCTTCTCGTTCCCGTCGCAGCTGCGGCCCTACATCGGGTCCAAATTCTCGACGTGCTTCGTGAACCGCGAGCTGGCGTCGCAGAAGACGAGCCCGCTGCTGTTCGGCGACTCGGCCGCCGTGTCCGTGCCCGGGATGCAGTACACGCCCATGGTGTCGGGCAACTACAGCGCGGCGACGTTCTACTACGTGAACGTCGAGGGCATCAGCGTGGGCGACAAGCGCATCGACATCGCGCAGTCCAAGGCCGCCTTCTCCATCGACCCGGGCACGGGCGAGGGCGGCACCATCCTCGACTCCGGCAGCACTCTGACCTCGCTCGTCAAGCACGTCTACTATCGCGTCATGCACGAATTTCTCGTCCAGGCCCCGATGTACCCGCAGGTGAATTTCAACAAATACGGCCTGGACTTGTGCTTCGAGGTGTCGAAAATCGCCGACCCCAAGCTCCCCACCCTCACCTTCCACCTCACGAACGCGACCTGGACCATGCCGCAGGAGAACATCGCGCTCGTGATGCGCGACGGCAACGACGGGGTCTACATGTGTGTCGCGCTCACCCAGTCCAAATTCGGCGTCAATATCATCGGGAACATCCAACAGCAGGACTTCCAAATAGTTTACGATCTGGCGAATTCGCAGATAGGTTTTGCAAAGGTCAAATGCGACACCTTGTGACCCTGAAAAATCCCAATTGTTTCCCCTAGCTAGGCAGACTGACCTCCATCCGGCCTGTAAATTACCTGTAGTAATAGCTGAGCTTCCACCAAAATTGAGACCGTAGTATGTAAAATTCATTTAGGCTCCCCGTTTGAATCCTTGTGTCGAAAAGAAATTATTCTTCTCAATGGGCAATCACGCTCAGTGTCGGATAGGTATGTTGATTCGATGCCTGGAAGGAGTCCAGACAGGCCATTCGTGTACAGATACATAGCGTCGTCTAGGCCAGCCATCTCACTACCATTCGACGATTTCGTCAGCTAGTTAGCCTCTGGCAAATCTATGTAAGAAAAGAACTGTTCGAAGCCACCCGCAGTTACAAACCCGCCAAGCCATTTATTAGGGATGCTAAAAAATGTCGCTTCTCCTTCAGGGACATAAGGCCTCTTGGACCAGCCGCAGCTGGCATCATCAGCTCGCACCTGCAACTCCCTGAGCCCTGCCGAGGGAGGTGAGCTTCTCACTTCCACCGCAGGGTGGGCGCTTAAAACGTACCCTGAGCTTAGTCATTCCCGGACCTCGCCGAGGGTGAGTGCTTCGTTCTCTGTTGTGTCCGTTTTGAGACGAGATTTCAGCAACGAAAATTGAGCTTGCGTTTTTTCAGCACACCGTCTCCGGGGCACCTGAATTGTCTCAACTGCATGTACACGCTTTCTAGAGCATCGTTGGTCCCGTCGGGTCGTGCTCTCTCATTAAACTCTTGTGCTCCACGGATTCAACGATGGGCATTTAGTGCATTGATCTTACATTGTGGCTCTCCAGTTGAGTCAGTTCCCCATCAGCGTCAATAGCCATCTACCTTCCCGTACAGACTCTAGGCATGTCTTGGCCGGATGAAATGTTTTGTAGCATTTTGTTGCCTCAAAATGCTTAGAATGAGACTTTGCATGAGATCTACACCACAAGCTCGACCAAATGAAACCACAAGCCTGACTCAGGACCGAGAATTTAACCTTCCGGTTATAAAATTATCTTTTATCTGTTCTACATCCCAGAGGCCTGCGTGTCGATGTCAAGCTAATCGCGCCAAGTTATATGTGCTGAAACTCCAGAAACAGGCAGGAATCAGAAAAAGTATGAGACTGGAGAAACAGCCGGATCAGAGTCTGGTAATGGCGCAAACTAATATTCATCCTGCCTCATTTTTACAGGCCAATTGGCTGTGGCCCTACGGCTCTTGTCTGCACTGGGATCAGAGTCTGGTAATGGCGCAAAATAGTATTCATCCTGCCTCATTTTTACAGGCCAACTGGCTGTGGCCCTGCGGCTCTTGTCTGCGCTGGGATCAGAGTCTGGTAATGGCGCAAAATAGTATCCATCCTGCCTCACTTTTACAGGCCAATTGGCTGCGGCCCTAAGGCTCTTGTCTGCACTGGGTATCAGTGGAGTGGCCTATCACCTGATTGAAATCTTGTGCACACTTCAGAATCAAACTTGCAAACGTGAAGTAGTCGACCTCATCAGACCTTGTTCACACCTCTGCACGTGTCTTGGGCGTCGCCAGAGCCGTGGTCGTGAACTACTCTAACTTCAACTGGTTTCGTGAAGCATACTTTCGCTGACTCGACGACAGTTGCATGATGGTAACTCGCAAGCTGTATCGGTGTCATACATAGATAGAGCGGAAAGTGAAAGTGGAGTGAATAATGCACTTGCTTTCTGGATTCGCAGCTTGACATAGAGCAAATTCACATCAATTGGGAGGTATAATCTACAGAACTCTTGAATTGGCAAGAGCTCTACACGATCCATGCTCCTACATTTCGTGTGCTCATTCCCTGTGCCTTATCTCAATTTGATCCAATATCCAAAACAACATTTGTTTAACAAACAGTTCAATAGTGTGAACTTTGGCCATAAGCAACCAAACTGTAAACAGTGTAACTTTATCGAAAAGCATCAAAGGGCAGATGGGACAAACAATCAAATATGAAACCACCAGAGAGAATATAGTTATTGGTTCCATACTTTGAATAAATAAACTTCCTCGAAAAATAAACTTTTGAAAAGATACGGAAGAAAAGAGAATATGAGTCTTAAGAATGAGAGAATGTAAATCGTGCTGGCTTGTCTGGACCAATAATTCTTATCTGTCTGTAACCCAAGGTTTAGATTAGAATGAGGACAGGCTTACAATTTGTATTGCGCAGCAATATGAACCAAACTGAAGGGGCTCCAAATCTCAACTCTCTGGCTATTATCTGTTTATCTGATCTCTGGCTATTCAACGATACATCCAAATAACTCTGGAAGCTGTCAAGAGGAGCATTTATATTCCAACCGAGAACCTCAAGTCAAAGGTGCACTTCAGTTCTCGGGTCATGTAATTCGAAGCACCATGACAGACCTTGAGGAATATGGCTCTCGAAGTCAGTCCTAGAAGGTTAACATACCAGACAGAACCCTTCTCATTCATCCGGAGACATCGAAGCTCAAAAGTTTCTGAGTGACTATGTCCGCGTATCTGGACATTTCAGGAGTGCTTTCCCTTTGATGGAAACAGGCTGAAGGTTTCAGCATTTAGAAAGTAGAGGACTGAACACAAAACTGGAAGACCATGAACTCCACAACAGGGTGATCCAATGTACTAGATATCACCTGCTCGGCAAGAAGATCTCTCCTCGGAGTTCCCCAACTACCACCAGCGCACTTTGAACCAGCGAGTCAAGAAAAAATTTGAATGTTCCTCCTATCCCTGACTCGTGTTTGAAACGACCTTATTCCAGCATCGTCAACCATCGCTGTTGGATCATCCACACCGACTTTATCAATGTTCCGACTTGCTCTCTTCAAAGTGATACGTCGAAGAGCATAAGCAGGATCACCTGCACCTGGCAAATTAGCTGTAAATAAATCTTGTACCAAGGGTACAGTATTATATATATGCTTTCTCATACGTGTCCAGAAGCCAAGGGCCGAAGAACCATTGATGCCCTGCAAGTCCGTCCGAAGAGAAGTCAATATCCTCTGTCACATGTCATACAGGACCGGAAAAATTTAATATGAATGTAACTGGACAAGTCCAGATCGGAGAGCAAATGACCTGGAACCGTTAAATTCCGCAGGTTTTGGAAAGTCTCGCGTATATTTTGTTCTTTCTTTATTAATTGATCCATCCCTCCACCAGCTGTACAACTGCGATCTGCTCATCTCATTACTCTGCTTGAGTTCCACGACACCGAGTGCACGTCGGTGTATGACAAACAGCAAATCTCAATTGTTGTCTCACATTCGCAGTATGCTAAAGGATCCTCAATCACCGTAAGCAATTGGGAAACGACAAACTCTGAGCAAGTAGAGTGCTGTGAGATTCCGCCATACTCTATGCAGTTTCGTCCCAAGACAAGTTCGACTTTGCCTTTGTGCATACAAACTTTACCAAGAACAATATCAACCACAAATTTCCCAAACAACTGAATTCTTGATATCTATGATGGACATTATACCGTATAGTATGTACATAGATTGATCATTGTTCGTTCTCCTTCTGATAAGATACTTTTGCTTACTCTCACGAGATCGATACAGTGGTTCCCGAAGCTTGGTACTTGTTTGCACATATGACAACTTACTGATGCTCGAAGGTTTATTTTGGACGGGAAAGTTTTTTGACTTGAAGATTTTTTTACGCACAGACATTTGTCTGAGTAGTTAAATCGCAATGAGATGACTTTAAAAACGAAGAATCTCCAGGATTCTCATTAACATTCTTCATAAAATAAATACTAAATAACTCAAATCCATCTGCTTTGTCATAGGTGGCCGTGCCGGAGTGGTTATCGGGCATGACTAGAAATCATGTGGGCTCTGCCCGCGCAGGTTCGAATCCTGCCGGCCACGTGTTATGATTATCATGACACTTTTTATCAATCTAATGATGCTCTAGGCAGTGGTTAGAGAATGTCTAATTGCATATTTTACAGGTGAAACTATCATTTTTATTATATTTTTCAACCTTTTGATACTTTGGGTCCCATGGTTTGATGAATTTACCATGTAAATATTAGACAACTACTTTTCCACATTGATCTCCTTGTAAAGTTACATCTCAATGAGCAACATATATTATATAAAATGTAAAACTAGATTTGAAGCAAAAAATTTATGTCTAGTTAAAAATGTGAAAAAATATAAGATAGTTAAAAAAAAAAATTGGAATACAGAAGCCAATTCTTGGAAAAAATTTCAACTTTCTTGCAAAATTTTTTACTTGAATTTCACATTTGAAATAAATGAGACCAAAATAATAAGAAATTCATCCAAAAATTTGAGATTAAATGTACACATGATGTTGAAGTACATTGACAATCTGAAAGAATCAAAGACAAAAAATTGAAAATTATAAAATTTTGAAAATGATAGTATTATTTCTTAAATATGTATAAGTATTCAAGAATATTTTTTAGTGTGACATATTGTTAAAAAAGGATATTTTATTTAGATTTTAATTTCAAATCATTTTTTGATAATAAATAATAATAAATATCTAAAGATATATAATATCAAAATATTTCCTATCAAAATATAATCATTTCGAAAAAAAAATGTGTATAAACTTGTTATATTTTTATAAGATAAATTATGATTTTTGGAAATTTACAATGTTTGTCAATAACAAAAAGACAAGAGTTTGAATATGTTAAAGTTTGACAAATTAGGTCTTGGCGCTGTTTAGTATTCATAATCAAACCCTAAAACGAGCTTTTTGAAAATGAAACAAAAAATCAAAGTAAATCAACTCCAACAATCTCATGTCAAAGGAACTAAAACTTGTGTGTGAAGAAATAAATCTATACAAACTTTGAATAATCATCAGAAAATGATATAAGTAAAATCTCTCAAAGAGTGAGATTTTTAAAGAGCGTTCCCATGAGTCAATATGTACATACTCAACTAAACTCTATTAACGTTGAAATCTAACACTAAAGATTTGTCTATGATGATTGCCCATAACACAATATATGCAAAAATCCAAGTCAACATTACATGTGACAAGTAACAATGTTCTATTGCATATGAGTGACAGATACATAATACTCATTTTTTTTTGCGTAGAATGTAACACATTAGACATCTCAACTCAAAATTTAGTAGAATTGATTTCATTATAGATGTTGATGAACTCTAGTAGATAAAGATTGTTGTGCTTATGACTTTATAACAGAATTTTATCATGTACTCTCTCCTCAAGTACTTCCTTCTTGGAGCTACACTCAAAACTTTTTAAGTCTAACATTCCAAGAAATATCAATATTTTACTTATATAGGATATAAATCTAAGTTGAATCAATCTACGCTAGATTCCATCAAACATTTGAATCTTGACACATCTAATAATTCCACTACTACACAACTGAATTTCATCAAACATTTGAATTTTAATTGATCCAATAACTTCAAACCTATAGTATTGATCTTTATTTGTAAAAACTAAACTATTTGATACTGAAAAAAGTATAAAGAAAATTTCTAGAATAAATATGATAAGAACAAACACTATATAGAATTCATACATCGTCAGCTTATTTTAATGAATTGTATGAAACATATTTCAATCATCATAGTACAATGTCCATCAACTCTTTGAGGTCAAACTCTTGAGCCT